GGCGGCTCCAGGTCAGGTTCGGGGGGTCGGCCTCAAGACACAATGGGGGTTGGGAGGTGGGGCGCCTCGAGGTCGATGATCGGGGGGTGGGGTGCCTCGAGGTCGGTGATCGAGGGTAGGTAGCCTCGTATACTTACATCATATTTTTAATGTCTATTTCCGCATTTAAAGACCCATTTTTAGGAATTATCCAAATTCCTCAATTTTTCATGTCTTTTTAGCCCTTAAATCTGGCGCTTCAAAGCACCAATTGTTTTTCTTCTGAAAGAACTTTTTGAGCACCTCCGTAATGAGTTGGGGAACTACCACGTATACTCACACTATTTTTTAATGTCTATTTCCGCATTTACAAACCTTTTTTAAGAATTATCCAAATTTCTCAATTTTTCATGGGTATTAACCCATAGATCTAGCCCTTCGGAGCGCCCAAATTATTTTCTTAAAAATATTTATGAGGACTTCCGTAATAAGTTGGGGAACCACCACGTATACTCACATCATTTTTTGAATGCCTATTGCCGCATTTACAAGCCTTTTTTTAGGAATTACCCAAATTCCTTGATTTTTTGTGTGTATTAGCCCATGGATCTGGCGCCTCGGAGCACCCAAAATTATTTTCTGAAAAAAAACTTTATTAGGACTTTTCTATTGAGTTGAAAAACCACCATGTATACTCACACCATTAGGACTTCGGTTTTCATGCGTATTAGCGCATTGATCTGGCGCCTCAGAGGACCCAAAATTGTTTTAATTAAACATAAAAAATAAAAATAAAAAAAAGACTATCCTTTGAAAATTAAATTAAATTAAACCAAATTAAAACAAAGGTTAGAGTTAATACCATGAATAAATAATAATAAAAGAGGGAAGCAAGGTCAAATTTGGACTTTTGGTCCAATCTGTCTTAAGTCTAAAAATGGGTTTGCTGCACAAAAATGGGCCTGTTTTAGCCCTTTCTTTCTTCCTTGGCCCATTTTCATCCCTGTCCTAAAACTATCAAAGTAGCTACCAAAAATGGATGAGTTTTGGCCCATTTATCTCAAAGACATGCTGCTGAATTTTTTCTTGGGCTGTTGGCCCATTTTTGCTGCTATATACAGTGTATATACCTATTGTATATCACTGTATATTTTTGTATATTCTGCATATCCTGTTATATACAATGTATTATTTCGTTTCGGAGACCTGGAATTCATCGGTTCTATTGACCCGGCTAACTCGATGAAGGGAAGAATTGGGCCTTTGGCCCAATGAGAAGATGCAAGAATATGAATAGGAGTTCATGGTGAACTCGGGAAGATTTCATGCAAAACAAATAAATAACGGAATTAGTATTTAAAGGAGAACATGAAGTGATAGAAAATATTAACACATGCCTATCTTCATTAGCAAAATAGCAATCTAAAGTAAAATGATGAAGACTTGACATTTTTATATCATGGATGATGCGCAGTAAAGGGGATGAATCACAATATGAAGTAGAAACATGCTTTAGAGACAACCCAATTCTTTATGCTTTTTCAGGAAATAAAAAATTGAGCCTAAAACAGGCTGACTTCCTAGATAGAACAAACAAGTAAATAAACTAAATCTTAGACGAGTAGTATAAGATTTAAAAAGACTATAAACGGAAACAAAAATCAAACTCATGACCATGGATCACTAAATAAACGAATTTGGAAATTAGAAAAGTCCTTAGACCCAAAAACACCACATAATTAAGAACAGACCACAACTAAAACTCAATTAGCATCCATCAGACAAAAATACATGTTAAAACAATTGCTCTAAAGTACGAAAGGCTCCAAATCTTCAACTCTCAATAAGATTAAGACTGAGTAAGTCGAGAAACTAGATAATGAACATATATACAGGCAGGCAGCAAACAAAGTAGAAGAATGATTTTCCAACTAATATCCATTAATGCACAATGATTCCAACATACTAAGTGCCCGTTTGGATTGACTTATTTTAGGTGATTTTAAACAGTTTTGAAGTGTTTGGGTAAAGTTAAAAAGTGCTTATAAGCACTTATTTTAAAGCCAAAATAACAAAAATAAGCCATAAGTTAGAAATCGTAACCATAAGCCAAAAGTCAATCCAAACAGGCCCTAAAAGCTAAATACTCGCGAGGAAGAAGAAGAGTACTGGGTCGATCGGTCGGCTACTATTGGTGTATTTGTGTACTGCTGGGAACTTTTGGTTGCTGAAAAGTGGGCTGGGTTGGAAATAATAATGAATTGGGCTGAGGAAAAAGGGCCCAAGATGGGTTGAAGGTGAGGTAAGGAAGTGGTCAAGTTTGCAAATAAAAAGGCTAGATTTCAAATTAAGACATGGCCATATGAGTTCAATTAAGAACGCACACGAATTGAATTAGTTTAGTAAATTCGGTTAACAATTAAATAAGACAAATTAATATAATTAAATAACGAGCTTCTTAATCGAAATTTAATAATTAACTTAATTATAAACTAATTAACTCAAAAATATAAACTATTAAACTAAATTAATTAACCAAATATTAAATTAAAACAAAATCCTTTTGAGACGATTTTTCAAATATACTTATATATATATATATATATATATTATTCAAAACTTAATAAAAACTACTACAATTATTTTAAAATAACTTGAAAAATGTTTAGAATTTTATAAAGTTTATTATTTCAAAGCGTTTGGGATTAAAGAGGCTCGATGATTGATTTATATTATGGAGGGTCAAAATTGAGTGTCAACAACCATATAGCCTCCAATATTGGTATGCTGGCTATACATCTAAATTGATGGTTCGAACATCGAGATTTTTTTCCTAGTAACTGAGAAATCTTTGAGGGCCAGTGGCACATTGTTCAATAGTCTGTGGATAGTGGCCCATCCCTTTACCCTTTTTCACTTAATATCATACTTATGTCTGCAGTACGGTTCAAACCCATGACTTGCACCTAACACACATATCATGAGTTATGCTTTACCATTAAACCAAAACCTAGGGGGCGTTCCTTTATGCTAGTAGAATTTACATATCTCACTTCATCTGGCTATACATTAGTTGGTATTTTCTTGTATTATATTTGTTTACAAGAACAAGACAGTGAAATTGAAAATCAAGAGAACTTGGCAGGAATACGTTGACTAAGACCAGCCTTTGCTAGTTATTTACATTATCTCTTCTGCTAATTTCAAACTGATAACAAATATTTTATTTCTGTGGATCAAGAAAATAAAAATAACTTTGTATAATGGCTGGAACAGAAATTAACTGGTGTGGGCTTACCAGTTCAAAGAACTCTTGACCAGTTGTCTACCTATAATTGTCATTTGCCTGAAATATAGGAAGACCATTTAGCTCGTCAATCCAAATGATAGAAAGCATGAAATTTACGTTATGATAGCAAAATTACACATGGTCACACTAAATGAACAATTCTTAAGGAATTTGTGTGATGGCTCCTGATATGTTTGGATTAAGAGTTAAAGAGTTAAGACGCCAGAGAAATAATGATGATTTGATTTTTTAATTCAAATTTAAAGTCTAATGTATAGTGTAATTAAATTTACGTTAGATAGATTAAAATAACAACAATATTGTATATCAAAATTCTGCCTATATATAATACTATAGAATTCAATCATTTTATTTATAAAAGTATTCATCCTTTGAACGAATATATGCAAAGCAAATTTATTTTTTGTAAGGTCTTTTATAGTTGAATTCAATTTATCTTCTTTAATTTTTTCTAAAGTTCGATCTTTGCTTCTTCTTTTTTTGCGTATTTGAATGATAAAATAGTCGCAATTTTGAGGGAATATATTTTATAAGTGTGAAATCAGAAAAATAATCTTCTCTTCATATCGTCTAATATATTTGTTTGAAGAGATTTGACTTTACAATGTCAATTATTTAGACTTCAATATCTTAAAAAAGATAATAACATAATGAATTTGGAAAAGAAAATAAGAAGACCCAACCTATTTTGACTAACTAATATATATACATATATATAATAGCAATAAATAAGAGAACATGGGAATATTTACATGCTATAATCACAATCAGTATTCACTATCAAAGTTATTTTTAAAAACTCATCTACCCCTTTTTTTTTGCAAACGTAACCAAAGTTTAAAAGTGTCCACTTCTATATTGCAAATCTGTAACAAACTCAATTCCAGCAGAAGCACTCTTATATATATTAATCACTGAATACAAGTTATAATGTAGAATACCACAACAAAGTAATAATACACTAACTAAGGAGCGATAAATCGAGAAAGAAGTAACCAAAAAGGGATGAGATACAAGACCATAGAAAGGAGGTGAGAGGATCAGAAAGCCAAAGCTTCACATAATAGTTTTTCATCCTCATTCTTCTAACTCCTAGTCCTTTTTAACAAAGTGTAAATGGGTCTGGATCTCAAATAAAACTGGACTTGTTGCTTGCTTTCGGCCCAATAGCTCTTGTCAGCCCAATAACTACTTGTGTGATCTTAATATTGATATTGGGTTGGACTTGGTTCATAACAAAATCCATCCTTTCTTTTGCATCTTTTTTCTATTTTCTCGGAGTACCCTCCCAAAAGGAAAAAGATGTGTCTGTCAGGTTCGGTTCTTCTTAGTTTTTTTTATTTAAATATGGATGCGAAATAAATATTCTATGTATACATTTCTTAAAATTGAGATAATATTATATGATGAAATCTATGCTATAAAAAGATTAAATAGTGCGTTGATTGAATGTTGAGTTATTTATCTAGAAGATTAGAGATCAATTCTCACTTAATATATATACAATTCTAACTAGTATGATAGTGTCTTGTACTATTTTATTTTTTTGACAAACATTTTAAAGTTCAAGTTTTTAATAGTTTAAACTTTAGATCAATACTTTAAAATTGGCAAGTAACTGTTCAAGCTTCAAACTGTTGATATGAAGTTTAATTACTTGCCTTTATAGAGTTAAAAAAAACTCTCAATTCCTAAAGCCACAGTTTAGTAAATGGTTATGTTTTAAATAGAATCTTCATAAGTAGTTATTTATGCAAATAACCTGAAGAACCCTAAAAGGCGCCAAATAAAAAAATGGTACTTTTCAAAAGAGGCGCGGAAAATAGGTTTTTAGGTATTCAGTGATATGAGCAATTTCGCACTCACCACAACACTGTAAGTTTCCCTTTACTGAAATTTGTGTATTTGGTTGTTGATTGATTCATTTGAATTTTGTTCGATTACGAAGAAATAGTGAATCTCTTTGTAAAAGATGAAAATTTGTTTGATTTATTGATAAATTCATTATTGTACTGTGTGTATTTCAGATTTTTCGCCAAGTTTATGCAGAATTTCTTAGTAGCAAAACTCAAGAATTATACATAGGTTTTGCGTTCCCTTGATATGGGTGTTTCATACTGTCAGGGGCAGATCTAGGGAAGGGAGGGTGTTTAGCTGAATTCCTCGACGAAAAATTATATTGTGAGTATAAGGTTAATTTTTTATTTTTAGGTAGGTATATATTTTTTGAATCCCTCGAACAGGTTGAGTTAGTGGTTTAGGGGTTCAAAATTCACTTTGGGGTTTCCAAGTTTTAATTTTTATAACCCTGATGTAAATATTTATGTGCATATTATGCTTGATAAAATGCCAATGAGTGGATGATCAATAGGATATGAGTCTTTTCTGTGAGGTGCATTATATGAGTATATGTTTGGAGTTTAATTTGTGAGAATAAGTTAAATGGGGATTAACTTGTAAACTTTGTTCTATATGTCATGTAGATCTAATGTGTTCTGTGTTAAATATTTTAGGCGAAGGACTTTAAAAGTGGAGGAAACTTTGTTTTCCAGCAGAAGCTTTGTACCAAAGACAATTTTGACTTTTCCTAGAAAATTTGGAACTTGGGCAGCTTTGTTTTCATTGAAGTCTAGCTTGGATTTGAAGTTACGTTTTAAGCCTTCAAGACTTATTCATATGGAGAATAAAGAGAGCATCAGCTCCAGAGGTGCTTTAATTGTGTTAGAAGGGCTGGATCGTTGTGGGAAGACATCGCAATCTGGCAGACTGTACAAGTATTTGGATGAGCAGGGACATTCAGTTGAGTCGTGGAGATTTCCTGACAGAAATACAGGCGTTGGGCAAATGATTTCTTCTTATCTTGCTAACAAATCACAGTTGGATGACCATGCAATCCATCTTCTCTTCAGTGCAAATCGTTGGGAGAAGAGGTTTGTTCAATTCACACAGCCTTACTTGCATTGCCCATATGTAGTGTGTAAATTGTGATGCTCAATGTGTCTGATACACAGAGATTACCTGTCAGAGTTCAGTACTTGGTCATGTCCCCAGTCAACAGGGGCACACCCACCACCCACGTAGGTCCATGTGGGTGCTCGAGCACATACTGCTGTCGAGCCTGACTGTATATATACATAAAGATAGTTGTTACTGAATAACAAACAAAAGAGATCAGTGAGCACCCTGGAAAATAAAATCTCAGTGGATGTTTTGGTTTTATGGTGGGTCAAAGAGTTGTAAAATCCTACTTGCCCCATGATCAATTCTCGCCTCAACCATATTTTTCTCATCTAGCTGATGCTTATTTTACCTTTCTTGTTTGTGTATGTACTTTCCTTCTTTCTCTCTAAATTGCAACTTTCCAAAACTGAAGAACTTCATCTTCTCCACGGCAAAAAGGAACTTCTTTTGTCTCCTTTGTTACAGCTCTTTCTTTCATGAAGGAGATTTAACCCTTTTGTTAGGTTCAACAGTTTGTTTAATTTCCCAAAGTAATCCCCCTTCTGCTTTCTTGAATGGATTCTGATACTAAAAGCTCAATCAAATATAGTATAAAGAATAAACTCTCCGTTGTAGAATTTTTACTCACAAATTTTGTAAATAAATCAAACTATTCAATTTATGTTCAGTCTAGGGCTAGTCTATTGCACAAAATATTTATTTTGGAAATAAATTTAGTGTGAGCAATGCTGCTATTATTCATAGTTGGCCAAGAAGAATTGAATATATAGAATGATCTTTTTTTTTTTTTTTTTTTTAATAATTTAGTATTAATTATAATTTTTACCATCAATTTTCAAATAGTTCTACACTTAAATTTGATGATTTTAACGATGCAGTGGAGCACCCATGACTTTGCTATCTACCACCGTCTGTCAAAACTCCTTAGGCATGACATTTGTCACTATCCTTTCCATATCTAGGTATATGTGGAGATGGAATTGGTTAGCTTATTAATCAAATCAATCAAATGGTTAGTCAGTAGTCATATATCCTCCTAATTTGATATGCTGACTATCTATCTGAACTGATGGTTTGAATGCTGGGACTTTTTTTGATTAAAAAATGAACGCTGGGACTTTCTTTAATAACTGAGGAATCCCTGATATGTTGCTTGTGAGCCGCCAACTACCAGTCTTGCAACAGAGGGCCAGTGGCACACAGTTCAATAGTCTGTGGATAATGGCCCCATTTCTCTACCCTTTTCCATTTAATATCACGCTTTTGTCTGCGGTAGTGTTCTAATCCATGACGTGCACTTAACCCTCATATCACGAGTTCTGCTTTACCACTAGACCAAAACCATGGGCATGCTTGGACTTCTTTATGCTATTGGAAGTACTTTTCTCACTTAATCTGGCTGTATTTCCTTATAATTGTTTACAAGCACTAGATGGATAAATTGAAAACCAAGAGAACTTGGCAGGAATACATTGACGAAGACCAGCTTTTGCTAATTATTCACATTTTCTCTCCCGCTACTTTCAAATTGATAAAAAAGACTTTGCCATTGTGGACCAGAAAATGAAAATAACCTTGTATAATGAATGTAAAAGGAATTAAGTGGTATAGACTCCCTACTCTTACCAGGTTAAAGAACTTTTGAACAGTTGTCTGCCTATGATTGTCATTTGCCTGGAATATATGAAGACCATTTAGCTCGTCAATCTGAATAGCAGAAAGCTTAAAAAATTGTGGCCTTCAATTTAGAGCAGTGTTTTATAAAAAAAGTTTAAAGAGCTTGTTAGGCTGTGCAAATGCTTTTTCTCCCCCCTCAGTTAATTCAACATTTGTCTTTCAGGTACCATGCTTGAAAGTTCTCACCAAAATGAATAATCAAATGTTTATATGCATGCTTTTCTAATTTTCTATTCCCTTTGTAGTTTGTTCTCAAGCAAAGGCATTGATGAAAATAGAAAAGTTTTTGGCAATAGTTGAATTCCCAGTAGTTTGTTCTCAAGCAAAGGCATTGATGAAAATAGAAAAGTTCCTGGCAATAGTTGAATTCCCACTTTTGAAATACCATTGTTATTTAACTGAAAAGTTTTACCTATATTGTTTCATTCTAGGTCGGATAGTATATCTGAAAATATGCAGTGAGTTGGCTCATGATCATTGTAGAACTTAACATGCGTTTAGCCTGGTGTGCCCGTAACTTATTAATTTCTGTTGAGAAACTGCAGATCATTAATGGAGGAGAAGCTGAAGAGTGGAACTACTCTCATCGTTGACCGCTATTCTTATTCTGGGGTGGCATTTTCCTCTTCCAAGGGACTTGATATTGAATGGTGTAAGGTAAAATCATGTCTTACTTCATTGATGTTGCAATTTCAAAATCTCGTAGCAAGTTTAACACTGATCTTTTACTGAAGGCTCCAGAAATAGGGTTGTTAGCTCCAGATCTGGTTGTATATCTCGACATATCACCAGAGGTATTTTTTTTCTTCTTTTTCACCTGTATTAAGTTAAGAGAGATATCGTCAATGCAATTTTCTAATTTGAAGCCTGTTTTTGGGATATATGTGGATTTCTTGAGCAATCTACTCTGTTATTGAGGATCAGCTGTTCCCTTTTTACTCGTCTTTCCATAGTATGCAGGTTTAAAACCAGTCTTACCTTTTAGAATTTATTCTCCTATCGCTTGTCTTGTTAACTAATCCTTTTCAGCTATATTTTTGAATTTGAAAGATATGCTCTCCATTGTTGTTATCATGACTGTTTATTAATGATTCAATTCTATGATAACTAGAAAGCTGCTGAAAGAGGAGGTTATGGAGATGAAAGATATGAGCAGCTTGAGTTTCAGAAAAAGGTGGCTGGATCTTATTTGTCTCTTCGTGATTCCTCGTGGAAGGTGACTTGTTTTCCATTTGTCGACCGGAAATAGAAATGTCTGTTTAAGTAAATATAGCAACTAGTCTGATAACCTACTAGTTGTAGAATACCGTCATTTGGTTTTTGACTCAGCAGTACTTTCTGAGTTAGTTGGGATGTTTTTGATATTTAATTAGCATGTCTATGGTGACTAAGCAGAAACATAATCTGACATTGACTAAACACTACTGGTCAAATTCCGATTTGATCTTCTTTATACACATAAATTCACTTTTTTCATGAATCAAATAACAGGCTGATCAGTTTTTTTTATCCAAAGCCTTGGTGATTGCTTTGCCTTGTTGATGTTGTTTCCTTGATTTATTGCAGGTTATTGATGCAACCCTTTCGATTGAAGATGTAGAGAAGAAGCTCAGAGAAGTTGTACTTGACTGTATGATGACGTGCCACAAAGGGAAACCATTGTCTCAGTTATGGCCATGTTAGGTCTAGTGAATGTCTGCATGAATGATATGTATACCTTCTTTATTACACTGTATTATTTTGATGTATTTTGCTATATTTAATCTTATAAACGATATCCTTGGAAGTGTGGAGTGCTTCATGTTTATAGATCCCTGTTATGTTCATGTTGCAACACCAGTGTTATTGGTGATTATTTGAAATCTTTTTTTGGCGAGTGGCGAAAAAGAAAGGATGCAAATGTTTATGTAAAAGATGATTGTCTACAAACCATTATATTAACAGAATTAAGAATCTTTATTAGAGAAAGGAAAACAAAAGAACTGTTTCCAAGTTTTTCCTTTTTGGGTCTGAGTAGAATGAGTGGGAAGAAATTAAGGAAAATGAAATCAATTTTCTTCGTACAACAACATACCCATTGTAATCTCACAAGTGGCATATGGGTAGGGGTGGTGTGTACACATCCTTACTCCTTACCTTGTGAAGCTAGATAGGTTGTTTCTGATAGAGCTTGTTGAAGAAGAAACATAGTCTTTTTTCTTTTTTAAATTTATTTTCCACGTCCTCAGTGTAAAACTGAAATTCAAAACCTAACTCCATCTTATGAACATAAGACTTACTGGGAGAGTTGAGTGTTGGAATAACACAGACCAAATTGAGCAGAACGGATATTGCTTATTGACTGATTCATATAGTGGCTCCAATTTGTTTAGGATTAAAGTAGATTTGTTGATGTTGTAGCTGCTTTTGGTTTCTAGAGTTGTACGCTTGATCCACATTAGCATACTTTATTTAGAGCAATACTAATAATCTAGGATCTTAAATTTGACAAAGCCAAACACAACTTACAGATTTTTTTTTCGTGATCTGATATATGAAGCAGATTCTTGGTCATTGTTAATTTGTATGTTAAAAGTAATCCCTCAGCTGTCTTTTGGTACCTAATTTTCTCGTCTTGTTGCACTGTGTAAGCAGAAACATGTTGATAATTAAGTCAAATGAAGATACCAGATACGCTGTGATGCAGTGGTGAACTGGTGGTTTTATTAGAGAGGGTTACTGATGAAACACTGGATCGATTTCATGCTCCTGTATGTACATATAGGACCTCCCTTGCGCTTTTAGGACTTCTATACCTTATCTGACTTTGCTTATGATATTTAAACCAATAGTCAATCAAATAAAGACATACTTGAGTTTTGCATTTGTTTCACTTTTCTGATTGATATATAGATTATAGAGGCTTAACTTATTATTGGACGCTTTCCTTTTCAGTGAGTTTACCTCTATATTGTCTTTTTCAAACTGCATTTATGTGATACGTGAGCCAAGAGTCTTTTGGAAACAGCCTCTCTATCTCCACGAGGTAGGGGTAAGCTAGGTACTCTCCCCAGACCCCACCTATGGGAATACACGGGGTATGTTGTTGTTGACTTGTAATTTTTCCTTTTCAGTGAAAGACCTTATAGGCTCCTCACAGCATCTAAATGTGTATATAAAACCATCTTGTTATGACAAACCCTTATTCTTAGCAAAAGCATCACAAAATTTCTGGACTTAAAGTATTCCAGCTCCCTTGCATTCTTGATCAGTGAGGTGATTGAGTTGCTACTTCCAATTCTTATCTGAAGCGTTTCGAGGGTCAAAGACATTCTTTATTGGTTAGTTGATTATTTGCTTGAATGTAATTATGGCCATAGTCAGTCACTGCTCTCTGAGATGTGAGTCCAATGCAGAAGTGGAAAAGAGGCTCCTTTTGTGGAACAAAATCTGTCATTCTGTGGTATATCTAAGCAAATGCAGGGCATTGTAAAAACAGTTTGGCTATTGCACATGTTCAACAAAGTACAACAACTTATGATTCATTATAATAATATCAACGACCACTGACATGTTCTTATTTGATTCCCTTGCTATTTACTTGAACTTTCTTACATCAAAATTTGGTAAATAATATACTGTCTCATATTTTGTGGTCCTTGATCAGCAATGTAGTTGTAGTTTAAAAGTTCAATATTTTTGGCCTAAGGCCATTTCCACCTTGCTTTTTTCTTGATTTTCCTCTGCCAAACAAAGTTATCCTCCGGAAAATCTTAAGTAACCTAGTAGCATATCGTTTTTGGGAAGAAAAATTCACAGAACCAATGCAACTAGTCACTTGTCCAACGCTCTTCTTGCTTGGTGTTCTTCCCTCTAGACCATATGGTTTCAAGCTTTGGAAATTTGCTGAAACTGGTTCAACTTTCTTGGAGATGGTTTCTGTTTGCTTAGATATGTGCTGCAGTTGAAGCGTTTTCTTCAAGGACATCAATTCTTCTTCAAGGTTTTGGATTCTGAAGCTCGTGGATTCATATTCCTTCCTTGAGAATTTGGACCTTTGCACTGCTGAATCTTTTAACAAGAAGCTTAGTGTTTTGCTTCCTCCTTCACTTCCCTCCATATATGGACTCTCAACCAGATTCTGGCTTTTGGAATTTGGATATATTGTACTTGAGAGGCTTCCAGAGTACTCTCCACATTGAGCATATCGGAACGAGTCTGAACATTCTTTAAAAGCTTGCTGTGTGTTTAGTTGCTGAACAAACAGTGCCTGGACAATAAGTCTCAACGGCATCAATTCATTTTGAACTGCTTCAATGCACACTTCTTGCGAAAGTTTCTGGCAATTGAGGTATTTGCACACCAATCCTTTCTCTTCTTGTGACATATCTGGATGTGCCTGGATAAAACGGAAATTTTATCTTTATTGAGGAAAGAAATTTCAACAGTATATCGACAGCCCTATGCGTTTTCACTTCAGAGGTGTGATTTGATTGAATTATACAGAAATATGCCTTTCAATTTATATTATGTAGATAACTTACCATGAGAAAAGTGCTTAAAGCTCTATAGAGATGATCGTGCGTTTGCCTGCTGGACAATGGAACAGTTTCAATGAGCTCTAAGAATCTTTTCGAACTCCATTGTGGATCGGTGGCTATCTTGGTTAGATATACATCCCAAAGTTCAGCGACGATGTAGTTTCTTGGTGAAGGTGTATGAGTTAACTCCATGTTGAAGGATACATATTTTGAAACTATGCTCTTCATTACTGATAACTCAATGCAGGAAGAAATGGAGTCATTGCTGCTATCCGGAAGGAGGAAATCTTCCATTCGAGCCAAGTATAGTAGGGACGCTATCTGATCTTGCAGCTTTTCCCTACTTTCACTTGTTAAACCAAGTTGAAGTGATCTTGAAAGCAAAGAGAAATAAAATCCAACGGGGATTACTTTACTCGCTTTCTCTCCCATAGGGAGTAAATCAAGAATCCCTTGAAGAATCTTGGAAACCTTTTCATTAGTGTCATCATCGTCATCATCCTCAACGTCATTGTCAGCTTTTCCATCCTTCCTAGCGTCCTGCCAATACTGGTGAGTTTTTCTAGAAAGTACCCATTTGTTTGCATAGAAAAGAACTATGGGGCTGACATATTTTTCCTTCATCCCTTGTCTTCTCAGAGATGATATTATCCTCTTGAAGAATGGAAATGGCAGAGCGATGAGATCTTTAATCCACAAATCTTGGCTGAGAATAGCCTTAACTGTCTCATTACTCCAAGGCTGACTAGCTAAGGCGTCTAATGTAACAACTGGATGGTCTCTTCTCCTTTCAGGATCAAGAATTTCCATGCAGGCCATGAAGGCAAGTGACTCGATGCAACGGCTAACAATCAGCAGCTCCTCAGCCAAAGGAAGCAACATTTGGCATTTTTGGAGTACTATCAGAGTATCATCCCAGCTTTGCAGCACAACCTGGTTCAAATATATGTCGAAACGCTCACAAAGATTGCCAGATATGTACTCTTCTGTCATTTCAAGGTACTCTGCTGCACATCTTAGCGCTGCAACGTTGAAAGGGTCGACTAACGTGGAGGATCCATAGATGAAGAGTGCCATCATTTCAAAAGTCTCTGCTCCTCCAGGGAAATTTCTTGGTAATTCAACCTCATTTGATTCATTCAGTTGTCTTCTGAAGTATCCGCTTTTCGAGAACAAGGGGTGCTGCAACATCAAAAACCAAGAAGTGAGCTAATTGATAATATCATAATAGTGAAAAATGGTGCTTAGCTGGAGAGCTCCATGCTAGTTGAGTTGGGAGATCTCACCTTATGCAAGTTAAAGGTTCTATCAGCTATCCGAACTCGAATTGTGACAGGTAAACCAGTTTCTTGACTCCTGAAAGAACATTTCTTGATAAGTAAAAACAACATAAGCTAGTGAAATCTCACAATGCAAGTGGAGTCTGGGGAGGATGCAGTGTCTTACCCCTACTGTATAAGGGTAGAGATACTGTTTCTGATAAGTAAAGCATATCAAACAAGCACTACTAAAAATAAAGTTTTTTCCCATCGTGAATTAGTGGGAAATTTGTGCTAGTAAGGACAATTTTCCCAGTCATTTTCCACCAAACCAACTCACTAGGAAATACATGGTGGAAACAAATTTGTACTGAAATAGTGGGAAACTTTCTAATTTTTCTTTTCTCATCGGTTCAATCAAAATATCTGTGGAAATAGCCACTGTACATTTTTTAGTGTGAAATTAGTGAATTTTACTAGTGAAGTTGGATTTCTTGATTAGTTTAAGTTAAAACAATACAAAAAAAAACATAATTAAAAAGTTTAAATGTGGAATTAAACATAGTTGTTACCATGAAATGATCTTGATTTTAAGCAAGGCACCAACATTAGGAGATGAAAGTGGACTATAAAGAATTGAAGAGTCTTTTGGACTTGAAGAAGTACCCATGCATTCAGCCAATAATAAGACTTGTGGGTTGTAAGGAAGTTTTTAATGAGAGATGGAGTTAATGTGCATGAAATTTATCTAGTCAAATATGAAACATTTGTTTCTGAAAGGAAGCATAAATGTTGGAAAATCCAGCTCAAACTTCAAAAATATATTACTAATAAAATGGTAGAGTGCTTCTAGAATCCAGAAATCCTGTGAAGTGAACAACCAGTGTGGAAATTATAACATAAAAAAGGTCAGCACCCAAGGGTAGCTAGCCTATTTGATCAATGATGTAGCTAGATAGAGCTGTAGCCAGGATTTGGAGCTTATGAGTTTTGGAATCTTAAGTTATTAA